AGGTTAAAATTACAAATACAAATAAAAGCGCATACCTACGACAAATTTACACACTTAATGCTACTTGTATTAGATAGTAACGTGAAATGACACGGCAAGTTTTCCACTTCGGTTAAATTTCGTTCTCTCACTTGCTGGACACGTATCTCTGGCAACAATTTTATAAATACTAGGCTGACTCCCATTTGTATAAGCACGACTTTACAAGAAAATTTGAGAAGTTTAATAATAGCTTTCTCCTCTCGGCCCTGATGACGTTAAAAAATTTATTATCGGTGATTATGATAAATATATGCCATTCTCCATAGTGGCTTTGTATTTATGTCGAGCTGGTGGCTATCATCACCAGAACTCCTTTGTAAGGACCGGACATAAGTATTTATGTATAAATGTTTCTTGGATTTCATTTATTTTTACCACAATAATAATATTTTTTATTGGAAAGTGTCAATCCAGACCGTATTCGGCCACGGCGACTTGGCCCTGGTTACTGAGAGCTTCATTGACGTGCTCTCAGGTGACTGACACAAAAGATTTTTGTCCGCTAGTCAGCACCCCCCGACATAATTATAATGTATGGCCGCCGGTGGGCGGGCCATGAGCTTATCCCGCTTAGCATCGAGCTTTTCTTTCGTCGTCTTTCAAACTCGTACACCGCCGCCTTTAAGGGATGCTCACCATTTTCGCATGACAGTATAGGAACAGTCCCGCAAGATACAAGCGAGGCAATCCCATCAGCACCCTGAACGTTATTATACTGGATGCGGGGAGCATTGTATGATTTTTGAGTCAAATGTGCCACAGGCCCAAAAAAATGAGATTAGCTTATTAATTAGATATAGAATGCCCGTAGTGTAGTCATGCTTTACTTCTTTGATACATGAAATATTATCCTATATCTTAAATTTCAGCTCTTATTATTATTTATTTATAAGTAAAATGATATTTTGAGGAAACTGTTTTGTATATTTGATAGTCACGATTTCCTGATATTATTATTAAATTTAAATGAATAAAACACAAAATTAGCTACTGATGACAGAAGTAATTTTGATAAAATATTTAAGCTAAAAAATAGAATATAAGAAACATAAATTGTGACGGTTTCTGTTAATCCAAATAAGCTTTTATAAATCTGAAGCCTTAATCTCTTAAATAATAATCTATGATTTTATAGAACTTTCAACACGTACGAATAATAAAATATATATATATTTATAATGCAATTATAATATTTACAACATTTACACTATTTACATACAAGCATCAAAAAAATTATTTTAATTGTTTAAAAAAGTTTTTTGCGTTCAAAAGAGGACACAGGATAGGTTCTCAGCATTAGGAAGTGTCATAAACGTTTCGTTCATCGATTATATTTTCCACAGTGAAAAAAAGTTAATAATATCCACGTGTTGTTATTTGGTTTAAATTTGACGATATGTTTTGTTTATTATACACAACCCCCTTTTTTTTTTTTTTTTTACGTGTGGAAATCCCCTCGGACCGACACCCCACCGGGGTTTGCGGTGGGGTGGTGTCTTATAGAATCAAAGAATTATACACAACCCCTTTTTTTTTTTTTTTTTTTTTAACGTGTGGAAGTCCCCTTGGACCGTCACCCCTCCGGGGTTTGCGGCGGGGTGGTGTGTCGGACTCGGACCGACTAAAACCACACGGTGTGCCACTCTGCGCCTGTAACAGGAGGGATCCGGGAACAGCTGTTGTTAAGACATCCGGACCCCTCCTGGCGCCAGCCCGCTCCTGGTGCGGGCTCCGTCTCAATGTATTTTCCTCTCTTTAGGCGACGTCCGGCACACGCGGACGCCGCCCCCTCGCGGCTGGCCAAACTAATGCGGGTGGAGGGGAAACCCACCCCGTCCACCCGCGGCCACACTCAGGGCGGCATGAGGCTGTGGTAGGCGGGCCTCCGCCGCCCGGTTCGCCATCGGCGGATCGGGTCCGAGTGGAGGTCGTCCTCCCGGGCCCTCTCCGCCGCCTCCTTCCGCGAGATTACTACCTCGCAGAAGGTTGCGACCGCGGTAAAACAACTATCGCTACCGGCCATGGAGCGTACTACGGCCGGTAGCGAGAGATCCACTCCGATGACTGCAGTGAGGGCCCGGCGCTGCGCCGCCCATGCGGGGCAGACCGCCAGCGTGTGCTGGGCCGAGTCCTCACTGCAGTCGCAGTGGTGGCAGGCGGGACTCAGTTCCCTCCTAGCGACCGTGTGCAGGTACTTTCCGAAGCAACCGTGCCCGGAAAGCACCTGCGTCAGCCGGAAGGAAAGGGTCCCGTGCTGCCGCCCTGCCCACTCGGCGATGACCGGCTGGAGAGCCTCCACGGCGGCGAAGCCAGCGCGTGGAGTCTCCAGCCGGAACGACCAACGAGCCATCGTGGCTCGGCGAGCGGCTTCGCGCCACTCGCGCACATCCTCGGGCGGAGGGCGAAATCCGCTCTCCGCCCGGGAGTCAGCCACTCGCCGATAAACTTCGGCGAGCACTTCCGCCTCCAAATCCCACGGGGGAGTTCCGGCCAACGCGCATGCCACCTCCGTAGAAACGGTGCGGTAACCGCGTATGGCTCTGACCGCCATTACCCTCTGAGGGCGCCAGAGGCGTACCCTATTCTGGGCGGTCAGAGCCGCCGCCCACACCGGTGCACCGTACAGCGCCATTGACCGGACAACCCCCGTGTACAGCCGTCTTGTCGCGACGCTGGGTCCACCCATATTGGGCAAGAGTCGCCCTAGGGCAGACGCAGCGCCGACCAGCTTTGGAGCAAGCTGTCGGAAGTGCTCGTCGAAGAGCCACCTCCCGTCGAGGATCAGGCCCAGATATTTCATCTGGGCCCGAACCGGTACGAGGACCGAGTTGACCAGGATTGAGGCGCCAGGGGGTGGACCACGACGGGGCCCATGGAATAACAGGGCCTCCGTCTTATCTAGGGCCACCCGTAAGCCCAGCGCCTCAATGCGCCCGACCACCAGGGAGACTCCCCCTGTGGCCAGGCGCGCCGCCTCTTGGAAGTTTGCCCCCCGGGCTGTCACGAGGGTATCGTCTGCGTAACAGATTACACCCAGCCCGGGGGGGAAATCGGCGCGAAGGGCCCAGTCGTACCCTATGTTCCACAAGAGGGGTCCAAGAACAGACCCCTGTGGAACACCGCACGACATGGGCCGACACCTCAGATTACCTTCTCGGTCCTCGTACACGACGGTACGCTCCTCTAAATAGTCTGCCACTAGCCGCCTCAGGTACTTTGGCACCCCATGATAGTGGAAACCCCTATACCAACCCGTCTGTCCTGCGTGGTATAGTAGGCCAAAACCTCTTTTCCAAGGAGAGGCCTATGTCCAGCAGTGGACTATTAGAGGCTGATGATGATGAAAGTTGAATACAAAAAGCTTGATGACATTTCCATCAATAACTTTCATTTAAGAAAAAAGCTAATGGGTTGGATAGATGGGCGAATACGAATCGTACAAGTTTTTTTTTTAAATTTATGTCGATTTCTAAATTTGAATTTTGAGTTTATCTTAATCTCTACGATTAAGATAAACTCAAAAACCGTTTTTTTTATTTAAGCTAATATTCGAATTAGAGAGCAATAGCGAGACATATGATGAAGTAAAAGCTCTTCAGCCTAATTAAAATAGCGGTGGTTTTTAGAACAGCTGATTTACTGGGTCGTTATATCGCTTTCCCCTTAAACGAAAGGATAGAGGCGGAAGTACTAGAGTGGTCGGTTCGAGTTCGACATAACCATCCCACCGGTGGGTGGTACCCGAGGGGAATTCCGCATAGAAAAAAGCCCCCTCCCCTCACACACAGGGGTTAGTCTTTCAGTAACCCACTCACTCACTAAAAAACAACCGAGGCCGTGTTTTCACTGCGATCGAGTCGGTGTATATATATGCCGAGCATAGCTTTCCCAAGTGTCGTTGAAATTGTAGGTAATACTGAGACGTTTGTGTTGAATACAAAGTTGAACCATTAAAGTACGCCTCATATTAGCGTTATTACCTATTAAGTTTGAATCTGATGCCTTCTGCATACGTTACAATTCTTATTAATTGAATTCTACGGAAAATCGTTTTCTTATTTCTTTTCTTTTGTAAATACCTGTATATTAGGAAAAAAAATTTTTTTTACGAATTCCGTGAACTGAATATAAAAGATGATAATGAACTTGAGTAGAAAAGGGCACAAGCGCAATTTTTCGAAATTCTGCTGTAAATTTTAAAATCTTGAAGTTATAGGAAAATTAATTCGTGTTTAATTAATTTATGAAAAGTCTATACAATGTCATGGAAATTTAATAGAAATTCGACTAATAGGATAGACATTAAAACAAATAGAAAGTATTTATTAATTAGCACTACTAATAAACTACCTCTGGAATTTTCTATGACCATTTTCGTATTCAAATATATATATTAATAAATAGGATTTTATCAGTGGTATTATCATAAAATATCTATATAATATATATTTATATCTATGATTTTAATGAACTTAAAACAAATAGAAAGTATTTTTTATTTATCAAAACTACCTCTGGAGTATTCTATGACCATTTTCGTATTAAAATATATATCATAAATAGGAGCTTATCAGTTGTATTATCATAAAATATCTATATAAAATTATGCAAATGTTCACGAATGCGAAAGTATATATTCGATACATTACTATATTCAATAGTACATGATATAGGCATACTAATATTTAAGCTACTACATAATATTTTCTAGATAGTAAGAGTGGCAACCCTAAATATAACAGCACGCAGACTTCACTAGTACCGACCAAATGAGGTAAGACTATAAACTAAAACATAAAAGAAGAGCTATAAAATACTTGCACACAAACTTTTAAGTTATAAGCATTAACAACTTTGCAACAAAGACGCATTTCGAATAACAATTTATAGGTAAGTGACGTCTGTTAGGGCGCACAGCTTATTTCCTGGATAACAAAGTAATGCTCAATTAATCTCACCTTGTGTGGTGTGGGCTCAGACGCGGATCGGAGCTTGGCTCGGCCGGCGCCCCCTGCGTTTCTTATTGCCTCCATAAGGTTGGCATGCGCATCGCCGACCACAGGCGCGGGCTTAGGCGTCGACGTGAGCTTTTTCTCCTCTCTAGTTAACAAAAAAAAAAAAAAAATTATAGTACCTTTGTTGTACGAGAATCTTTGTGGAAAAAAAGTGTAAAGTATAAAAATGATTAGATAGGCAATATTTTTTTTACGAATAAAAAGGTAGTGTAAGTCCAAGAATTGATATTACACAAACATATCAAAAAATTAAAAAGGCGTACCGAAAACCATTAAAAATATAAACATCGTAATGACGATTCCTAAGAATCACACATAGCACTTATTTTCATTATTGCGTACCCGATAACGATGCCTAATAATCATAATATAAGAAATAACAATTAATTTGTTTACTACATCTTTAATTATGCTTCTCGGTAGGATATAACGATTTTCCTTGACGATGAAATCACACATCATTGCTTGAAGATCACAGTGTTTTGACTGTGAAACCGAATTGTCGATTAAAAAATAAATCCTTTATAATATAAAACAAAACCTAGTGCTCATGAACTTGATTTTAGCAGACACTGAACGTGATTTTCGGGGATAAATTTTTTGTAAACTGTCCACTGTATACCGAGCAAAATAAACACATGTATTGTATTTAATAAAAACAAATAAACTTCGTATTGCAATTAGTGACCTTAGTACATTTACTATCTTTTGTAGGTATTCAGTTAAGGGAGATTATAGATGACATGTGAGAGACTGGCACCAATGAATACCTTACATGACATACCTTTGAGGTCTGAGGTCTTTGACCGTTAGCTGGACAATCAAAAATCTAACTATGAAAGTAATCTCAATATAATTTAATTATGTTAACTAATCAAGACATTTCCGAATCGCGATGAAAACGAAAAAAACTTTTTTTACTGCCAATTTAAAACAAGATTTCATCTGAAAATTTTAACCACATCTTATATTTGGCATTTTATAAAAAATCAAACATACTACGCCGCAGACTTCCCTTTTGTAATTAAGCTGCGATAAAAAATAATGTTACTTATCACACCGTGGGGCAACGGCCCCCCAATGGACGATGGCCTAAAACTATTATTTATAAACAATAACAACATATATAATATTAACTATGTTTTTAGTTGTGTATTTAACTGATCACTAGAGTTAATAGGAGGCGAACTAGCAACCGAAAGAAATAACATGTTCTAGGTGAGAATATCACGTCAGGATATTTGAAAGTAAATTTTGTTAAGTAACTACATAGGTCACCTAATACATATCTAAATAGGTGACCTATTTAGATATGTAATTTAGGTCGCATTGACTACACCACGCTGATCGATAAGCCGCCATGTGACGTTGTCTCTAACATATACATATTTAAAAAAATACTAATAAGTGCGAGTTGCGTACAATCTATACTAATATTATAAAGCTGAAGAGTTTGTTTGTTTGTTTGGTTGAACGCGCTAATCTCAGGAACTACTGGTCCGATTTGAAAAATTCTTTCTGTGTTAGATAGCCCATTTATCGAGGAAGGCTATAGGCTATATATCATTACGCTAAGACCAATAGGAGCGGAGCACCAATTAAGAATGTTTCAAAAACGGAGAAAATTTATTACTATTGAGAGACGCAGACGAAGTTGCGCGGGTCAGCTAGTCTTGAATGTAGATGGTTCAGTCATGTCGGGAATCTATTCTCAAAGAGAGGTTTTTTTAAAGTAGAAATTTAATGAATTTGTCAAGCGCAAAACAATAATCTTTTGAATTTCTGCTTTTCTTGTCCTACGAAACCCATTTTTTTTCTATAGGTTTTGATTTACTTGCTAAATGTTCAAAGTTGTATAATGTTGCTTAAAATATAATACTTAAATGATCTTATTTATTAATTGCTCTATTTAAAAAAATATATTTCTTTACAGCTTCAAGGGAAAACAGACAAAAGTATTTGACGTAAATTTCTTAACAGACAGATGGACAAGGTAAACCAAGGGATCTATTTTACCTATTCAGACCCTAAATAGTCAAATCAATAATATAAGACTAAAAAGCGATTACGCTTTTTAGTGTAAAAGTGAATTTAAGCTAACACCATGAAATCGAAAAGAGATTGTTTAGTTTATTCGTCACGTTTTAACTCCACCCACCCTTAGAACATAAATAATGGACTGTAGCCATAATGCAGAAGTGATTAGGTACTTTTACAGAGGAAAGCTCTTTGGCCAAGTGTATTTAATAGTGTTAAATGAAATTATTCTATGCCTAACTATTATAAAGTAATTCATTCTTTATGGTTTAAATCTAATAAATGTTGAAGTCTATTTATCAAAATGTAGGGCTTGATCGATTTATCAAACGCAGTGATCATGTAAGTCCAATAGGCAGCTACGAATTACATCACTCAACTACTTCTATTTTTAAAACCTAAATTAACTATTTTGTGTCTGTAACTGTACACACAGACAGATACAGAATATTGTTACAAACCCCAAGAAATGTTGTTTTTAAATTAGTTACTTCTAAACGTTGAAAGTCTCAAGAATAACTTGAGAATTTCTAAAATGTTACTCATAACTTCCCAACGTTATATAAACCGTAAGTTTAAGAACCAAATAAGTCTTACAATAATTTTGTTCTTACAGACTCAAAACCTTAATTTACATAAAATCACTAAATTAAATAATATACCTAACCTTTTCAAAGCTATAACCAACTTTAATGCGCCAATATCATAATGAGTGGTATTGTAAATTTGTATAATGAGTGGTATTTTCCTCCTTTTTTTAAATCGTTTAAAAACTCATATATATTTTCTTAACTTACTCAATACAATACAATACAATTACAAAATTATCGGCAAATGGCACACAATAATCATACCCGAAATTTCAAAGTTGCAAAAAAATATTTATGACCTTTATCAGGGGCGCCGCCAGTATTGATTGAACTAGCATCTAGTCTAGACTTGTCATTATTGTTTTAAACCTAAGCAGTCGCAATTAGTGAAACCAGACACTTATAAAGAGGTGACATTGTGAAATTCTGACTGAATATTTAGATTATTAGAAACTTAATAGAACTAATTAGAATTTTATTTAGTATATTTTATTTTATATTTTATTTTGTATAAATAATTAAATTATTAGAAACTTAACAGAACTTACTTTTTATACATACAATTACTCACGCCTTATTCCCGTCCAGGTAAGGCAGACGATAGAAGGCCATTTGCCATGGTCCCTTTTTTTAATGGTATCAGGGGCGAACGAGCCCATGGGTCGCCTGATCCTCCACAAGGCCAGTGCTTCTTCAGAACATTATATTGTGTAATTGTTTTTGGGGCCTACCCACATTGGTTTCGCCCACTCACAGGGGCCCTTATAAACTCTGTTAGTCATTCGCTCTTCCTTCATGCTCTAACATGCCCGAAACCAAGGAAGCATTCTTTTTCAATTCTGTGTCACTATATCTTTTTATGTGTTGTTTTCAAGAGAGTCTCTTTTTAATTCTTTAACTTTACTATAAACTGTTAGCCTTTTCTACTAATATATTAAACACACTCTCCTAAAGCTTGAAAACCTTTCGCAATAGTGTCAATTTTCCTTTGACTTAGTTTCTTAGATATAAAAATTAAATTTTTGTAAAACATTTTCAAGAAGCTATAAAATAAATGTAATTAATCTCTCCCTTTTATCTTTTTGGACGAACGAATAATTTACGACATATATTCGCTTATACATGATGTTGTAGAAATGTATGGTCACATTTGAGTATCGTGTACTAGATTCCGTAAATAGCGTGAAATGATCAATATTTTGGAAAAGTATTGATTTTTAATATACTACTTAAACTGAAAGTTGACCATTAATGCTAATATTGACACAAACTGTTGAAATTGATTGACACAACCATTAATGCTAATATTGGCACTGACACGAATAAAATTGCAATTTTTAACTTTCTTGATATTGATGGAAATTGCGTTTTTTTTTTAAATGTCAGCATACACAAATGAAAAAACTATTAATTAATGTAATTTAAATTTGTTATTTGGAAATCTCTAATGGGAAAGCATGTTATGAGAATGTTTTTAATATCTTTCTTGTTAAATCGTTCATCATCATCATTTTTTTTTTGGCGACACAGCTTACCATAAAGTTCCCTACACTTCTCGGTAACATCCTGTATACATATATTACGTACCTACGTTTTAATACTGGTAGTGATTATATTTCATAGATATTAGATCTATCAATTTATAGTGGCTATCGACGAGGATCTGATAACCTCGCGATCCATTGGTGTGATAAGTCTAACGAGGATTTTGACCCGAACGGAAACTTGTTTATACCTTATCTTAACTGGAAAGTGTTGCCAGAAGCAATGAATTATTTTATGGTTTATATGTTGCGCATGATGCTCTCACAGTTAATGGTTATGTGTCTACTTGTTTGCATAATATTTGTAAATTCATTTATAGCTTTATATTAAGAACGATTACAGATTAAAAAATAACTAGGTGAATTTAAAAAATAATAACGTGTATGTAATAGGAACATATTTTGTGAATATTAAATTATTTCAAAGATGACAAGTACTGTAAATGAAATAAACTCTCCTATTCGTCTCTAAAAAGTTCGTATCTTACATTTTCTTTCTTCAACCTTATACACCCCCCATGACAAAGAGTTGTTTGTTAAGCACGGTCATTTGGTCTGTGTCTTGGTAAAATTTGTTTATTAAATGTATATATTAGTAACATTTAAACAAAATAATTATTGGCAGTCTGGTTACCATAGTACAAGCTCTGACTAGTTTTAAATCAGAAGGCCGTGTGCGAAGTGATCATTATTATTAGTTAATATTAACTATAAAGATCATGTAATAAAGATATAAACTACAAATTAACTGTAAAAAAAGAGATGTATTTGGTAATTTTTACCTAAAAGGATAATTTAATGACATTTTTGTAATGATATAACTGATGGATGGAAACAACTATGTCGTTACTTAAGTTGTTAATTGTATCAATTAGACCTTTTTTTTATGACACCTCACTCAGGGCCGTCTGGAA